TCAGGATAAGACTCTGTCTCAAAAAAAAAAAAAAAGTAGACCATTGTTAACTATTGAAGCTGGGTATCTATGAAACCTCATATAGTATTCCATTTGTAAATGCTTGAAATTTTTCATAATAAAAACATTTTGCAAGAAGATAAGTGCACAAAGGTGTACATTTAAAATTTTTCTCTCATAGAAATGTTTAGTTTTGTGAGAAATTGCCATATTCTTTTTTTATACTGGCTAATTCCATTTTACATTCCTACCAGCAATGTATGTGAATTTCTCCACCCTCACCAACATTTGGGGCTATTGCTGTGTTTTGTTTTAGCCATCCTGATAGGTATGCAAATTAGGATTTAAAATTATTATTTTTTTTAGTACTTTTTAGCTGTAATTCTATAAAGGAGAAACTTTTTTTTTCCATTAGCTGTTTGATAACCCTGAAATACTGTCTGTACAAGAAAGGAAGGGTAAAATATTTTATTTCTTTTCTTCTACCAGCCCTCACTTTGGAAAGCCCTACTTTTCAGAAAAACAAATTAGTGGCCTGCTAGCCTCCAGAATGACTAATTAGCTTTTTAAAAAAGTGTTATTATGAACTCATGGGTTTATAAGATACTTGATATAATATCTTCTCAGGGTGAATTATTAGAAAAGAAATTACCATATCAAAGGGTAGACAAATTTAAAATTTTGATACAGATTACCCACTTACCTCCAGGTAGGCTGTTTCATTTTATGTTCTTGCCAGTAGTTTATAAAAAAATATTAATTTCTCTGTATTCTTGCCAACACTGGTTGGCTAGTTTTAAATTATTCTTATTATACCAGTCTGATGGCAAAATTGATACCTGTTGTTTCTCTTTCAGTTCTTTAGTTAGAAGTAAAGCTGATCTTTTCACATTATTGGCTTAAATTTAGTCAGTTCTCTGTTAATTACCTTTATCCTTGTTTCTATTAGGATATAGGTCTCTTTTTAAACATTTTTATGTTATTACAACTGTCAGTCTTTTCCTTGATGATTGCTGCTTTGTCTTTGCTGAGAGCTTTTCCTATCTTAAGATTATAAAAATATGTACATATTTTCTTTTGGTGTCTCTCCATGATTTTATGGTTAAATATTTGTTTCATGGACAGGTTGTTTTTGTGTAATGAGTGAGATACGAATCCAGTATTCCTTTTCTCCACATGTCTGACCAGTTTTCTCAATGCCATTTATTAAGGAAACTATCTTTTCCCCACTAGAGATGCCACTTTTATCTTACGCTAAATTTTCTATAATCTTAAGTCTGAGTTTTCTGCTAGATTTCACAGGTTTGTCCATCTAGTTATGCTCCAATATCACAGTTTATATTACCATAGCTTGATTTTGCATTAAGGTGGTTGTTACTGGATTTTGTAAGATAATGCAAACCAAACAAACTTGTTCCTGTATAATGGTTGCTTTATAATGTATTTTAATAATTGGTGTCACTGGTCTCTTTTCTTTTTTGTTGTTTTATGACTTTGCTGACAAAGCCCACAGATTCTTCTGGATGGATTTTGGAATTATTTGTGTTAAGATTCCCGAATTATTTGTGTTAAGATTCCCAAACAGCCCTTTTATGTTTTGATTGGGATTCTATTAAATGCATAGGTCGATTTAGGGAGACTTGATTTCTTTACTACTTTGAACCTTTGCAGTTAAGGACATTGTCTATCATTTCATTTATTTAAATCCTTTATGTCCTTGAAAATTTTTTGTTAATTTACTCCCAAGTTTATTTTGGTTGGCTTCTCTGTCCTTCATTTGAGGAATGCTTTTTAAAATTGATCAGGTTCATTTTTTAAAAACTAGACGAAACCTTCTGGGAAAGATGTCAGATTTTATTAGTTGTAAGGTCAGTCTTCTAAGCTGCCTCTTCAGTATATCAGCCTCTCTAGGCAAGCAAGGTGTATGTCCCACTGTCCTTAGGACAAATTAGATAATGGTCCTTCTGATGGTAGCTTTTTTTTTGTTACTGAGTATAAATTGAAGCACATTTTTTAGAAAGATGGCAGTACTTGCTAGAAATTAGATATAACACAAATTTTGGGGTTTTAAATGGAAAAGTTTAACTATTTAAGTACAGCATATGGGCAGCTTTTTATTAAGTGAAAATAACAACCCTGTAATTGTGAAAAACAGTTTCATGAGGAATACAAGTGCCAGCCTGCCCAGCCTTTGTTTCATTACATACAGGAATTTATGTTTATCTGCTGCTCCTATGAGCTATCTTTATACCCAAACCTATTTTAGTCTAAATAGAATAATAATGATGAAAGCAGCACTACTTATTGAGATCCTTCTATGTGCAAGGAATTGTTGTGTTTAATGTTTGCTAATTTCTTAAATTCATGGAACTTGTTTTTTTGTTTGTTTCTTTGGGACAGTGTCTCGCTTTGTTGTCCAGGCTGGAGTCCAGTGGTGCAATCTCTGCTCACTGCAACTTCTGTTTCCCGGGTTCAAGGGATTCTCTTGCCTCAGCCTCCTGATGAGTAGCTAGGATTTCAAGTGCCTGCCACCACACCTGACTCATTTTTGTATTTTTAGTAGAGACTAGGTCTCACCACATTGGTCAGGCGGGTCTCGAACTCCAGACCTTAAATGATCCTCCTGCCTTGGCCTCCCAAAGTGCTGGGATTACAGGCGTGAGCCACTGTGCCTGGCCTATTGTCTCCTATCAAACAAAATAAAGACTATGTTTATGAACTTTGTCTAAATGATAGTACAGGATGCTCTGATTCTTCTGCAACTTGCTTTTTTTCCACTCATGGTAACGTTTTTGATGCTTGTAGTTCCAATCCATTCATTTCTGTTGCTTGTCATATTCCATTGTATGAATACACCATCATTTACTTATGTGTTCTGCGGTTGATGGACAGTTGTTTCCAGTTTTTGCAGTGTGCTATAAATATTATTTTATGGTTCCTCCTTGTGGATATATGTGCAATTCCTTAGGGTACCTACACATGAATGAAATTGTAGGGTCAAAAGGTATGTGTATCTTCAGTTTTACTAAATATTGCTAATTGTCTCCAAAAGTACTACTCCTTTAAGTGCCTTCCATCACTGATGAGGTTTTCATTGCTCTCTACCTTTGCCAATAGTAGGTATCGTTAGATTTTTTAATTTTTCAGTTAGATGAGTGATATATCTCGTTATTTTGAATTCCCTGACTACTAGTGAGGTTGCGTATCTTTCTTTACATTCATCACTATTACAGGTATTTTTTTCTAATACTCATATTGCGTATTATGGTTGAAAGTTACATGCAAAGTTGTAAGTAGCACAAAGTAGCTACTACTGGTTAGAACTATGCCCTGCTTGTATCTTTAAAACAAATAGGTTTTTGATACTTCAGAAGGTGCCTATGAGAGTTAGAGTTACATCTTTCAACATAGATGAATGAAAAGCAATGCTGAGAAGCTTGTGGAAGCTACGTATAATACACCATGTATGTAAAGTTAACCATACTGTGTATCTGTGGGCACAGTACTTCAGATTGTGTTTCACTTTTTCTGTATGAGATGATCTTACCAACCTCACAGGGTGATTGGAGGTGAGTGGGCAGTCAATGATACAATGAATGCTAAGCACTTAGAATAGCATCTGGCATGTAAGCATTGTTGATATATAAAGAAAGTGTTGCTGGGTGCGGTGGCTCACACCAATAATCCCAGCACTTTCGGAGGCCAAGGCAGGAGGATCTCTTGAGCCCAGGAGTTAGAGACCAGCCTGGTTGATAGAGTAAGACCCTGTCTCAAACAAAACAAAACACAGTTAAAAAAAACATATAGAAAGTTGTTGTAACTGCTTTGCATTATAGTCTATTTTCTGTAGATTCATATGATATGAATTAGAGTGTAAAGTAATGTATTGGAATGGTGTGTGTGAGTTACTGCTCTGTCTTCCCAGGGCAGGAAATGCTGATGGAATTGGGGAGAGTACACAGGGCTTCCCATCTGTTTTTTTTTTTCTTTCTAAAAATCGATGCAGATGCATCAGAATGTTAAGATTTGACAGGATCGTGTAGCAGTTTCTTTTTTTTTTTTTTAACTGTTTTCTTAAAATATTTTAAAACAAAATTTTTTTTAAGCATGGAAGAAAACATTGGCAACTGTGCAGAAACTTTTTGGAGGAAATAATTTGGGGTAATTTTCCAATTTGTGTGGAATACACACATACACACACAAATGTATGTACACACACACACACACACACACACACACACACACACACAAGAAAACATGGACTTTGGAATTAAAATTGATACTTGAATCCTGACTCCATTATTACTAACAATCTCTCCAAGTCAGTCTTCTCATCTTTGAAATGTTATCTCGTTTAATTCTCTCACCAAACCACGAGGCAAAATGCTTCATGGTTTGGTGAGAGAATTAAATGAATTAAAAGATAACATTAAGACCTGGCACATGCACCTAGTACTTAGTTTTAGGATGAAATATACATACTGAGCTTTAGTAATGTGAAAGATGGGTAACACCATCATATATAATTAAATCGGCCCTGAAATTTGGCAGCATTTATGAGATTGAAATGCTGTCTGTTGATAGTTGATTCTAATATAAATATGCTTCCATCTCAGAGCTGAGGAGCTCACTGACATAGGACACCCACAGTAGGCATATGTCTGCTGTGTGTCTATGTTCAGCCATCCTGCTTTTCTGCTTCCGCACGTACACATGCCCCTGTGTTACTTTGGTTCATCTTCTGTACCCTGTCAGTTTTCTGCTGGTCAGAACATCTGTGACTGTGACAGAGCCAGGATTGCAGTGGATAGTTAGGCATAATCACTAGGACCCTTCTGGGGGCCCTGGAACATGGCTTCTGTTTGGGGACTCTGTCAGTGATCATGCAGCAGGGAAGAGGGGGCTGGTGCCCCAGAGCCGATGATAGAGATGCAGGCTAGTAGCTAGTAGATAACTGTGAACTGGCTTCATTTAGATAGTTCTTATGTCTCTTGCCACAGGAATTTCTTCACATGGCTCCTGAAGAAGTGACCATCACAGTTCGCCTCATCCGTTCTTTTGAACATCGCAATTTCAAACCTGTAGTGTATCATGGAGTGAATTTGGACCAAACTGTAAAGGAATTTATAGTATTTCTAAAGCAAGGTATGAGATGTGAAAGCCATTTTGTTTTATTAGTATTTAAAAAAATTGCTGATTATTACGTAGTAATCTTTAATAAATCCTAAAGTACTTTGAAAGGTTAACCTGGGTTCTAAGCCAGGTGCTGGGCGAGCCCCTGTTCTGGGCCCTGGCGTCTGTGGGGGGCCTCCCTTAAGGGTTCTCACTGAACAGTCTTTGTCCTCATGAGGGATTGTGACCATCATTTTTGGCTTCTTACTTTTTAATTAAAAACAGGTAATATCCAGGTTTGTTGTTAATGGGCTTAAGTGTTTGGAAGTTGATTAGCAATGGAGTATAGTATAGCTAATTGTGGTACCCAGATGAGCACAGAGGGTGTGGGGTGGTCGCCTGGGGAAGCATGGGGGGAGGGGAGCAGAGGCCCTGCAGAGGAAATCGTGAGAGCTGCTGGTAATTGTGGTCACAGACACAGAAATAGCGGTGCTCGTTTATTGTTTCAAACTAAAAGTAGGCATGAAGTTAGTCTTCATTCTGTTACATCCTCGATGGTTTTATCTTCTCTGTTTTTAATTATTGAAGTGTTCCAATCATCGACATTTGATCAAACATCTAAAATAAGGTTTTATTATTTTAATTGAAGTGTTATTTATATATGGTGCAATCTCAGATTTCACATCTAGTTCCATTGGTTTTGACAAATGTATTGCTTTATATCCAATGTAATTTTTTTTCCTTTGACATAATTTCAAACTCATAAACAATTCGCAAGAACAGGACAAAGAATTCCTGGATGCTCTTCACACAGATTCCCTGTGTTAACATTTTGTTATATTTGTTTTATTTTCCTGTGGAGGCCAAAGCAACTCCATGTTAGATGCTGATCTGCCATCTTGGCTTCTCATTAGCCCCGGTGTTGAGATGCCTGTAAGATTTCCAGGTTATATAGTATTCCTTGTGTAAGAACAGGTACTTACTGTAAATCCTGACCTGAGGTCAAACAGCCTTGGAGTTATTGTACGTTGCTTGTCCTACACATCCCCTCAGAATTGCCTTTCCCTATGATATAAGCCCTGGGTTTGGGGGTTAGTGGCGTGTGCATCCATTGTCTTGTCCTGCCAAAGCCTGAGACAGAGACATGGCTTCTGTTTGTAAGTTCTCATTAAATGTGTCTTTCTAAGAAACTGAATATGTCAGCCTCTTTCTTTGGCCTCTCAGCTTTCTCAGACTTTTAGGGTTAGGTTCACATAGACCTGCTCACCTTGAAACAATTCCACTCACTCTCTTCCCTCTCTTCTCTTCTTTCTCTCTCATTCTGCACACTGCCCCTAGATTAGGTAGTATCCTCAACAAAGAGCAGTACAATTTTAGAGAAGTGACAAGACAAAGGAAATGGACTCTGAATTTCTAAGGGTGACAACTTGTGCGAAGGTGAGCAACTGACAGATAAAGGCTAATGAGTAAAGCTTGTTAATGTGGATTCTCTTGTGCCATCTCCAGACTGATAAGGGTCTAAAGTTGTCTTCAGTGGTTAACCTTTGTTTTCCCTGGTAGAGAGGTGGGCAGGATACCTTTTGTCTTTGTAAATCTATTATTTGTCTTGATTTTAGGCAAACACCAGGAGGGCTGAGAGCTTTCTGCTTAATTGCCCTTAGCTCAAAACAGTCCTTATGCTAAAGAGGCATATTTTGGGGGCACTTCCTGGTTTCTGACAGTGTCAATTAGCAAGTGTCCTGCTTCTGAAAGGTCGTTACCCAAAGCATAGTCAGAGTTTGAAATAGAAACAAATCCCTAGTTTTTTATTTTATAATCTTTGTATATTATGGGTTGCAGTGTTTCTTAATACAGCAAGTGCTGTGATGTTCTTCGTACCCTGCAGACTAAGTTCTTGAAGTCCTTGAGAATAGGATGTATTTTCAAGCTGCTACAATGACAGGGAAAGATGTCTTTTTCCTAGGATCACGGTGTTCTTTTCTTCTCAGGTACTACAGATGCCTTCCCCACCAGAGTAGTGGTACTGGTCAGTGAGATGCTCAGACCGGCCTCCTCACACCTTTCACCTGCAGTGGGAGTAACAGCCACTGCTTGTTTTAATTGTGCACTTAGGGAAATGTGTTCCACTGACTAAAAGGTGAACTTTTGGGGTACAGACTTATTTGAGTGGGCTCTGTGTCCAAGCCTGTTTTTGTCATCTGATTTGACATACTGTGGAACTCTGAAAGGTTGGTGGGTCGCATATTTGCCTTTTATACATAACAAAGACCAGATAGTTTGATAGTGAGGGATTTTTGAAATATGTAATAATAACGATAGCAAACAGTACTATGTATCAGGTACTATACTAAGAATTTTACCTAGATTATCTAATTTCATCCTCATAGCATCCCTCTAAGTTAGGGACCATTTTACAGGTGAAGAAACTAAGGAACAGAAGTTAAGAAGCTCGCCTGGCTGTGTGCAGTGGCTCATATCTGTAATCCCAGCACTTTGGAGGCCAAGGCGGGAGGATCCCTTGAGCCCAGGAACTCAACACCAGCCTGGGCAACATAGCAACACCCTGTCTCTCAAAAAAATAAAAAATAAAAAACTCACTGGGCATGGTGGCCTACGCCTGTAGGGCCAGCACTCAGGAGGCTGAGGTGGGAAGATTGCTTGAGCCCAAGGTTGAGGCTGCATTGAGTTTTGATTGTACCACTGCACTCTAGTCTGGGCCACAGGGCAACACTGTATCTCAAAAAAATAAATGAATTAAAAAAAAAACTTTACTGATGTTGCATGGGTAAGAAAAGGCAAAGCTGCAGATCAACCAGGCATGTGTTAACTATCAAGCATGTACTCTTATTAAACACTGCACAAAACTGATTCTTTATTCTTCTCTACTGTCTCACTTGGTTGAGTGGGAATCTCTGAAATAGATGGATGGACTCAGTGTCAAAAGGGTCTTTGAATTTAGTTCATCTTGCTCTAGCATTTTGAATACTGAGTGCTATAGAGATTATCTGACATAGTGGCATAGGGAATTTTGTGCAGATACAGAAATGGTCATTGTGAAGAAAGATCTCTTGGAGTTTTTTTTTTTAACATACTTTATTTCCCTTCTTTCTTTTTAAATTAAATTTTATTTTGCGATCCCCCTCCCTCCCCAAGCCTTTCTAAATGTTCTTTTCTTTTGTAGTCATGTTTGGCATCCACAGGTTAACCTAGTTGTCTGCCATCATTGTTTATATTTTCTCCTCAGCCAAAAAGTTTTGGTTAGATTTTATTCATTCTCCATTGAGAATCATGGTCCTAGCTTATCAGGTCATCAAAAACTTAAGCCGTATAAATATAATAAATATAAATGTGTGTATTTACATATAAATATAATAAACCTATTGCTGATGTATGAGAAATTGATTTTTTTTTTTTTTTTGAGACAGAGTCTCACTCTGTCGCCCCGATTGGAGTGCGGTGGCGTGGTCTTCGCTAACAACCTCCACCTCCCGAGTCGAAGTGATTCTCCTGCCTCAGCCTCCTGAGTAGCTGGGATTATAGGCGTGCACCACTATGTCCAGCTAATTTTGTATTTTTAGTAGAGATGGGGTTTCACCATGTTGGCCAGGCTGATCTCAAACTTCTGATCTCAAATAATCTTCCTGTCTCAGCCTCCCAAAGTACTGAGGTTACAGGCATGAGTCACTGCATCCATCCTGGGAAACAGCTATTAATCAAATATTAGATCATAGAGGTATCTATGGATGACTATATTTTTTAGATTCAGAATACTAGACAAACCAATTATCTAGATAACATAAATTTATTTTAAGTATTCTTAATTTGGAAGCATTTTAATACTTAATACTTAAGATCTGGTTTCAAAAAGTAAAGTCATCTCAACTATGAAAAAGAACACTGTGGAAGTTCTGTCCAACTGTCCAGTTCAGTCTGATGTTTTTCTTATGGTCAGACTGGGCTTATGGGTTTTTGGGAGGAAGGTCACAGAGGCAGAGTGACTTTTATCAGATGGTATGAGAGGTGTATGCTTTCCACATGATGTATGATTATTGATGTTGACCTTGATTAAGTGGCTGAAGTCACGTCAGTTTTCTCTAATATAAATGTACTCTTTTTTCCTTCCCTTTTCAAATGTGCTTTTCAGAAGGAATTCATATCCACAGTTAAAGACTCGGGGGTTATGCTCTCCTTCCTTTAGAATAAAATGTTTGCAAAAATCCTTTGGAGTTCTGCATGGCAGGCTTTCCTTTGTTGCTCAGATTGCTCTAGCTTTGGGAGCCCTTTCAGTGGCCTCCTGAGCTCATTTGACACATGTTCTCAGTGTGTATGGGTGCATGTGTTCAGTATTTTTACTTTCTGGTACCACAGGATGCTCCAGGCTCACCTTGTACATATCCTGTTCCTAGAATCAGCTTATTTCCAAGGAGTCTCAGTTCTTTTTCACTGGAAAATGGTATTAGAAGCCAGGATCTAGGTACTAGATGTTTTCATTACTACTAGAGTGTTATTTCTTTCTTTCTTTTTTCTATAGTAGATATCTAAAGACCAAGGGGTGTTGTTTTAGACTGTCTCAGTTGATAGGGCAAATAAATTTATGTGTCTGTATTAACCTGTGCATATGCACACATCTACAAATATTTTAATATGTAACCGTCTAGATATAAAATGTTAAATATGAATTCTTACTGATCTTGCCATCTCTGATCCATTACCCAATGGCTCATTCTAGCTTCCTTTCCTTGTTTATCTGTTAATTCCCAAACCAACAGTGAGAAACATGGTTCCGCCATCTGCTATCCATTTATTTAATTATTTAATTCTAGCATACAGATATAGCAGTGCATCCCCATGGGAAGCAACTTGATATCAGTTAGATACAGTCCTTTTGTGTCGTTTCGCCATAAGCACTGTAGTTTTATAAAATCTGTTCATTCCCAGAGTTATTTAGGCCAGCACCTTTTCTTCTTCTCCCTTCTACTTCCTTCAGTAAGGTTGTTGTAGCATTTTCAGTACAGATAGATTAGATTCTTTTG